AAGACAAGTGTACAGTTTTAGCATGTTAAAGTTCACAGATGTTAAAGCTTAAAGACTTTTGTGCCAGGAAGACTGAGGAAACAAAGTTTCAGATACAATCAGAAAAATGTRCAGTGCCATTTCGAGTCTATGCCAACACAAGAAGTCAGTCTGAAAAGCTGAATTTGTATAGAAGGTACAAACCTTTCCTTTGTCTTAGTTTAATTGTATTAACCTCCAAACATAACAAATTCTGTTGCCTTTTTTAGTCTTGGCTTGTGGATAAATCATTTGGTCTTTACAGGTGAGATTCTGATGCACTCCTTTTATAGGAACAATTGTTGCAAATCCTTTAAAATTAACYGTTTCCTAGACAAAAGAGATGGTCAATGATTTTAGAAAGGACTGTTGGTGCTCATGTTATTAATGGTGAAGCACATTAGAGCCATCAATACCTGGGAACTGTTCTTGAGGACAAACCTAATGCACATGTGAACACACGTAAAAAGACTGGTTTTATTGTGGATTCTAATGAGAAATTCATCTGATCTGTTTTGATGTTTCAACATTGAATTTGAAGTGCTCAGACAAAGGGGCTGTTGGAAAAAATGTGCGTTGTTCAAAATGGTATGTCCGAGTAACGAGGAATCAGCTGGATTTCTTTAAAAATTCATTTTCAATCTTCTGACTCCAATCAGGTACACAGTACAGCACTCAGGCCTCAGTAAGACCTTGGGCTGAACCAAAACACAACACAGGAGTCCTGCTCTAAAGCAGAGACTGTGCCCAACAWTGACAACTTCCTTTCCTTGGATCAGTCAGCAGCAGCATCTGATCCATGTTTTTCAATCCTGGCACACTGCCCTGCATGTTTTAGAGGTCTCCCTGTTTCGACACACCTGATTCAGATGAATGCAGTCCAACGAAAACCTGCTAATTAGTTATCAATTTAAATCGGCTGTGTTGAAGCAGGGAAACATCTAAAACATGCAGGACAGTGTGTCCTGASGACCAGGGTTGAAAACACCAAGATGTGATGTAAATGTAACATTTTCTACATACAGGTAAAATCACTGCAAGAAAATAGCTTTGTTTTTGCCACTTTTATGGTAGATCACATCAACTCTGTTACATTACACAAGGGACGCTTCATCGAAGTGAAACAAGTGTGTCGATCTGTGTTTGATTACTCTGGCTGGCTTTCTTAAGAACCATGATGTGCGACACAAAAATTGGAATTTTGGAACTGAAAGTAGTCAAATTTAGTTTTCAATAGACCAAAACAGTTTCAAAGCAAATTAAGTCAGATACAAAATTTAAATTCAGTATCAAATCATTACATTCAGTTTCAATTTAGTAAAATTCATTTTCAAACAAATGGCATTCAATTTCAAATTATGCACATACAGATTCAATCTGAGCAATTCAAATTCATTTCCTGCTTGCACAAGATTTATCCCATGGGTGGTGGGGGTAAATAAAATTTAAAGACATGCTCATTGGCAAAAGAGTCAAATCAGTGTCAAACGCTGATTTTCCTGCAAAGGAAAAACAGCTAAGGAGATGAAAAAAATAAGTGTCTCATCTCTTATTATCTTATTCTTAAAGTAACAAAAATAATAAACTAGCTGATTTATTGTGAGATACTTAAACTTACCAACATCTGACCTGCAGAGAGCCTGATGAGGATCAGGAGGACTACTACAGGTGCAGGCTTCTGCCACTTCCTGAACACGCCAAACAAACAGGATGGCCAGAGTGATGAAACAGCTGCTCATCATTACACGAGTCATCTTTAGAAACTTAAAGATGTTGACAGTAGAACCAGCAGTCACTTAGCAAACAGCTTGCACCTTCTGCCAATTGTTCTCTGAACAGGAGCTGTGGCTTTTATACCCTCAGAGGTCACCAGGCTCCGCCCATCTGGAGGTGGGAGACTCTTTGAGGTAAGGCCC